TTATAGCTTTATAATACTTTTTAACATTTGATAAGATGTGCTCCCCTTGTCCTTCTTTTTCAATATTTTGTTATTTTCACAGTTTTTCTCAAATCAGCTTCAGATGCAATTTACAGAAAAATTAAAATCATATTGGTATTTTTAGATGACATTATGTTAAATTTATACATTAATCTGAGGAAATTTTGTTTTATAATAATAATTCTTATCATTGAGAAAGATAGCTTGTCTTTCCACTTTTTCAACTTTTTTTCATGTCTCTCAGTAGAGTTTATAGCATTTTTCAAATAGGTTCTCATAATTGCTTAAGTATATTCCTAATTATTTCATTTTTGTTATTGTTTCTTCTGTGAATGGGACTAATTTTGCCATTGTAGTTTTTAATGGGTTATTATTGGCATATAAAAAAACCACTGATTTTTAAATATTTCTGTAGTAACTAGATACACAGCTATCTTAGAACATGTGTTTCCTATGTCAGCTAACCATATTGGCAAAAACACTCTACTTGTGTATTTTGCACATAATTTATATTAATTAGCTAATGCATTTTCTTGGGTTATTATAAGTGCAAATTTGGTTTACTCAATAAATGTTATTGAAAAACCTCATCATAAGTTATCTGCAAGGCAGTGTCATCCAAGAAAGTCACAAAATTTAATTTTAAGACAAGTGACAGCTTTATAATAAAGCAACAATGTCCTCACCTGGCTTATAGTTTATTAAATTTGAATATCTATGTAAAAACTGATGGTACTAGTAAGGCAAGTGCCTTTGATAATAACAGCTACTATTTATTGAGATTTTACTACGTATCACTATTGGGATAGACACTTTGTATTTGTTATTTCATTTAATGCTCATAACAACTCTAGTAGAAAGGTATTATACTCATTTTACAAATAATAAAATTGAAGCTCAAGGTGCTAAAATTCCCTGTCCCTGGTTATGTAGGTAGTTAATGATAAAGATGGAATTTAAATCCAAATTTGTCTTGCTATAACTGCAAAAACATGCTTTTGACATTTGATTACATCATCTAAGAAGTAATAATATAATACTATAAATTCACCAACTATGCTGGTGATAACAATTTAGTATAGTATTTGCTTGGCCCTCACAGATGGTTAAGTACACAGCGTCTTTCTCTTCAGGGCCGTGATTTTGTTACTTCAAATAGAATAAACACAATCAATCAAGATGGAAAAACTGGGACTGAACTTACCCTCCACACACAGATGGCCCAGATGGATGCCTATGCATGTGGCAGGTTGCATTACAGGAGAGGAACCCTGAGTGTGGGGGCCATGCCATTTCACAGCAAGCAGTAAGCAATTCTGTTTTTTGTCCCAGAGGGTGACATTACCTTATCCCTCAAGGTTGCTCACGCAAGCATAATCCTGAGAAATGGCCTGGGTAAAGGGCAGTCAGGGTCTTACTCTCTTGGCATCCCCAGCAAGATACGCGGGAGGAATGTCTCTCAATAATGCACTGCTGGAAGGAATGTAAAATGGTGCAACCACTTTGAAAAATTGTTTGACAATTTCCTAAAAAGATAAAGATATACATTCCACTCCTGAATATTTACCCCAAAAAAGTATATGTACATACAAACTCTTGTACATGAATGTTCATAGCAGCTTTATTTGTAATAGCCAAAAACTAGAAACAACCCAAATGTCCATGAACTGGTAAATGAATGAGCAAATTGTGGTATATTGTGGCAAGGGATACTACTCAGCCATAAAATGAAATGAATTATTGATAACAGGCAGCAATATAGATATAGCTCAAAATAATTTTGTTGGTGAAAGAGGCCAGAAAAAAAGAGTACATACCATATGGTTCAACTTATATAAAACTCTAGAAAATGAGGACTAACCCATAGTGACTCAAATCAGATAAGTGGTTACCTGGAGATTGGGTTAAGTGGGGAAGGTGAAGAGGGCCAGAAGAGAAGGATTGCAAAGAGACAGAGGAAATTTTTCATGATGGTGGATATGCTCATTATCTTGCTGGTGGTCATTGTTTCACGAGTATATCAAAATATATCAAATTATAAAATTTATGCCAATTTATTGTATATCAATTATACTTTAATAAAGCTGTTAAAAATAGAATGAATAGTTCATCACTGTGTTGTTTGTAATAATAAAAAACTAGAAACAAATTTTTATTAATAGGGAATATTACACAGCAATTGAAATTGTGGTTGTATATCTATATTTATTGACATGGAAAAATGTCTACAACATGTTAAGTAAAAAGCAGGCTACACAGCTTGCATGTTGTCATTATAGCTACATCTATTGAATATTTACTCTGTACCAGACACTGTATGAAACACTTAACAGGTATTATGTTATATATGCCCATGACAAATATATAAGGATGGTGCTATTATTACTTGCATTTGGCAGACGAGGAAGATAAGGCATGGAAACCTGGCTCAAGATTTCAAGCTCAAGGACACTGGTACTTTGAGACAGGAGTCTGCCAACCTCCTCGTTTGCTGGCAAATTAATAAACTCCTCTTTCCTTCTCCTCAAACCACTTGTCCTCATTCTTCTGATGCAGCCTTGGGGACAAGTGCCAAACTTTTGGTGACAGAATTCATTTGAATAGCTCTCATTAAAGAAGGAAAATGCCCGCCAATGAACTATTTGTAATATGAGGGAAAAAAGTGGAAACAACATAACTGATTCTGTGTGAAAGCATAAACAGTTTCATTCTTAAAATAGAAAACTAAGCACATGTATCAACACTGATAAATTTCAAAACAATGTTAATTTTAAAAATGTTATTTATGCACATTTTTAAACACAGAATACTATGTGTTATTTATGAGTACATACATATGTGCATGATGTGGAAGAATCTGTATGGGAATAATACACTCCAACTTCAGGAGAGTGAGTATCCCTTTGGAAAGAGGTGAAGGGAGATGACATAAGGAAGCCTAAGCTTTAATTGTTTTGTGACATGTTTGTTTGTTTTCCTAAAGAAAGATCTAAACATAATATAGCAATATGAACATATCTCTTAAATCTTAATAGGTACAGGATGTATGTCATTTTATTCCTGTAATCTTCTATATGTTACTTTCATTCAAATGGACCAAAATACCTTAGATTTCTAAACTGTAATAATGTTTGAATATGAATAATTATTTGAGTATGTAAATTTTTATTTCGTGTTTATCAATAGTAACACAAAGGAATATATAGACACATGCAATCAGCCCTTAAAATATTTTAAAAATCCTACTTGATGAGCTATATTAATTTAAAAGTTAATGACTCATTCTGGGAGGCCAAGGCGGGAGGATCGCTCGAGGTCAGGAGTTCAAGACCAGCCTGAGCAAGAGCAAGACCCCTGTCTCTACTAAAAATAGGAAGAAATTTGCTCAACAACTAAAAATATATAGAAAAAATTAACCAGGCATGGTGGCACATGCCTGTAATCCCAGGTACTCAGGAGGCTGAGGCAGAAGGGTTGCTTGAGCTCAGGAGTTTGAGGTTGCTGTGAGCTGGGCTGACACCACGGCACTCTAGCCCGGGCAACAGAGCAAGACTCTGTCTCAAAAAAAAAAGTTAATGACTGATAAGTCCTTCCTGTCCTAAAATTCTTTCCTTTAATGAGAGGTATATTTTTTACATTTATTTTAACATCAACTTAACTTTGCTTAAATCTTGGTTTGACAAAGCATTTTCACATATACGAGACCAATCCCAATCCTCAGGGTGAGTTTGCAGGTAAGGTTTACTAGTGGTACACATTTTGTTGTTAAACGTGCAGAAATTCTGAGAAGTTAAATCGCTTTCCCCAAATTAGTTGTTGAACTGGTATCCATTCTTAACTGCTAGATCTTATGATTAATCTTTCTACTTAAATAGTAAAGAAGTCTTCGAAAGGTTTTTTAAAAAAGATTTCAAGCTTTTGGTTTTCGGCTCGGAGGAGGCCAAGGTGCAACTTTCTTCGGTCGTCCCGAATCCGGGTTCATCCGACACCAGCCGCCTCCACCATGCCGCCTAAGTTCGACCCCAACGAGATCAAAGTCGTGTACCTGAGGTGTACCGGTGGCGAAGTCGGTGCCACGTCTGCCCTGGCCCCCAAGATCGGCCCGCTGGGTCTGTCTCCAAAAAAGGTTGGTGATGACATCGCCAAGGCAACCGGTGACTGGAAGGGTCTGAGGATAACAGTGAAACTAACTATTCAGAACAGACAGGCCCAGATTGAAGTGGTACCTTCTGCCTCTGCCCTGATCATCAAAGCCCTCAAGGAACCACCAAGAGACAGAAAGAAACAGAAAAACATTAAGCACAATGGAAATATCACTTTTGATGAGATTGTCAACATTGCGAGACAGATGCGGCACCGATCTTTAGCCAGAGAACTCTCTGGAACCATTAAAGAGATCCTGGGGACTGCCCAGTCTGTGGGCTGCAACGTTGATGGCCGCCACCCACATGACATCATAGATGACATCAACAGTGGTGCAGT